CAGGAATTCTTTCTGACCAGATAACTGCTCCATGTTCGCTAGTCGATGAGTCACTCTTGGCTTCTCCAGCTGGGATTATTTTCTTGCCCGCGTCTGTCCAACGTTCCCAGCTGGAGGGCACTCGCTGAAACAGGTCACTGCTCCGTGCGGTGGCCAGCCCAGGACGACACGCTGCATGACCACAGTGAAGGGAGCGTCCTGCCCTTCCCCAACAAAACAGCAGATGCTTTTCTGATGATTTCAGTAGACTCACCGTAGACCTTTCCTTACAGAGCCTGTTGTTTTGTCCAAAATCAAAACTGCACATCCACAGAGCGGAAATTTCAAAGATTATCAGAGAATGTCAAGAAGAAAGTTTCTGGAAGAGAGGTAAATTGCATCCCTTTTAACCTTTGTTAACACTGTACGTGCTGCAATGAACTGCCTAAGTCTCATATTAGAATTATGGTAATGATTTACTCCTGGGCAGGAGCTTTGCATAATTCCTTGAAGAACTTTGATATCTGGGCTGTTTAGAGTTTAAACCCATGTTGAGACTCCTTTTGAAGGGCAGAGGTAATATTTGATTTACTAGTAGGAGCACACATAACGCTTTCATGTGACCCAGAACATGGACCTAGAGTGTTATTTCGAATTTCTTGAAAGAGTAAACCTTCCTAAATTCCACTAGACTCTAACCTCATTGAGTCAGGGAATAATGTCAAATTTATTGCTTCATCCCAGAGCCAAGCACAGTGCTTCATATATAGAAAGTACCTAATCAATATTTGTGGAATGAATGGAAAGTCGCAGGGTCCATTAATACTTCTCTCACAGTGTCTCTGAAATAACCTTTTCTGCTGAGTCATCTTCTTTCTCTGCCTGCCTGATATAAATAAGACAAGGGTGTGAATTCAACTATGCTTTAAGGTCTCTTCCAATTAAAAAAATAAAATCATGGGTGTGGGGGGAGGGTAAGAGATAAACCAAAGGACTTGTATGCATGCATGTAAGCATAATCAATGGACACAGACAGTAGAGGGATGAGGGCATGTGCTGGGGAGTGGGAGCCTCTGGGGAGAGCCCAATGGGGGGTAAAGGAGACATATGTAATACTTTAACAAGTAAAGACTTTCTCAAATAAGTCATACTGCACCAGTCCCCACTGATATACGCCTACCATCAGATAGATACGAGTGGAAAAATTGGTTGCAATTTAATTTGTCTCGGTTGCTAGGAGAGCTAGATATTTATCACAGCTCGCTGCTTTTGGAAGAAGTCACTTGACACATTTTGACAGAACGAGAAACTGCCTTTGCCAGACTAACTTGCCTGTTTTGAAAATGACAGCAGAACGTTGCCCATGTTTAACGTGAATGCAGTAATCTTGTAATCCTCAGGCAATAGACATACCCAAATGGTGCAACCAAATGCCATGCAAGACGAAAGCAGAGAAATATCCTGAATAGGCTATTATGCAGGAGTTTTATTGTACTGGTATTTTCTTGTATGTAGGATTAGAAACTTCAAAATATGTAATTCAAGGCAGCTCCCAAATGCAACAGCTACATGTCCACACACAGACACGGACGTGCCTGCGTGGTATGTAGTGGCCAGAATCTGGTGCATGGTGGGCGTTCAGGCCAAGTGGATGTCAGAGACGGAGTCCCATGGGGTTTAGGTTTTGTTAGATTAAAGCTGTACAGCAGGTTCAGTGCCTGGGGGCAGGTCCCGGGAACAGTCTTCAGGAAGTACTTAATAAATCCTTTATTTGTCGAATAAGTAAAGTAACAAATGACTAAAAAGTCATTGCCCAGGTAGGTAAGAGAAAACACCCCGAGTCATTCTCCCTGACTTCTAGGTGACGGGCCAAGCTCTAGAATTCCAGCACTGAAGGGCGTTTTTGTTTTGCAGCTCTGCCCTTCTCTCTTGGAAGCATGCTTGTGACCCAAGGACTAGTCCACCACGGTAAGAATCAACACTCGTTTACTAATGTAACTCCAGTTTTCTGCGAGCCTCCTGGCCACTTTTTGGACAGGGGCATGTATTTTGTGGTGAAGGACTTATTTATGCAGGTTTTTGCCTATTTTCAGCATGAACCCCTCCACCCACGCCTCCGGAAGATGTCCTAATCCCCAGAATGAGTGACCATGTTAGGTTACCTGGCAAAGTGACATCAAAACTGCAGGTGGAGAGGCTGTTAATCAGCTGACCTTAAAATAGGGAGATTATTCTGGATTAACTGGATGGGTCCAGCGTAATCAACTGGATCTTTAAAAATTGGGTCAGGCCTGACTGGCATGGCCCGACCTATGAACCAGGAGATCAGGGTTCGATTCCTGGTCAGGACACATGCCTGGGTTGCAGGCTCCAACCTCAGTGTGGGGTGTGCAGGAGGCAGCCGATCAATGATTCTCTCTCATCATTGATGTTTCTATCTCTCTCTCCCTCGCCCTTCCTCTCTCTGAAATCAATAAAAATATATTAAAAAAGAAAAAAATTTGGGTCAGAAGACGGAACCGGAGAGAGGGCAGCATGAGAAGGACTCACTCAACACTGCTGGCTTTGCTGATAGACGAGGGGCCAGGAGCCCAGAGTCCAGGAAAGGGGGTGGCCTCTAGGAGCTGGCAAGGAATGCAGCCCTGCCAGCACCTTCATTGTAGCCAGCTGCCTAGGCCTGAATGTTTGTGCCCCACCCCCCAGTTGACATGTTAAAATCCTAACCTGAAAAGGCGATGGTATTAGGAGGTGAGGCCCTTAGGAAGTGATTAACCCATGAGGGTGGAGCCCTCGAGAATGGTAGTGCTCTTGCAAGAGACCTCACTGAGCTCCCTAGCTCCTCCCACCACAAGAAGTCTGCAAACCCAGAAAGGGGCCTCACCAGCCCTGAGGATCCCCTGATCTTGGACTTCAGCCTCCAGAACTGTGAGAAATCAATTGCTGTCCTTTATAAGCCCTCCCCACCCCCACAAGTCTTGTTTCACAGCTCCAACGGTGAAACCCGTTCTGAGCTCTGACCTCCAGAACTGTAAGCTTGCCGATGTGTGTTGTTTTAAGCCTCCAGGTCTGTAGAAAGTTGTTACAGCAGCCACAGGAAACGAATACAGTGCCTTTCTCTGTACCAGAGTCCTTGCATCTCCCAGGGGCTCAGTATAAGTTAGACAGACTGTCCCTGCTCAAGGATGCTCCAGGAAGGAGTACCCACCAAGCTCTGTCCCTCAAACCATTTGTCCTGGTGAGAGGCTGCATTTCCTGAGGAAGGGCGCCCTAATTTGTACAAGAGGTCATGAGCACTAGCAGGCACCCTGCACCTCCCCACCAACCTCTCCCTGCCTCTGAGTGTCCCAGTTTACCTCTTTCTTCTTCCTTCCTTGCTCCCTTCTTTTTTCCTGTCTCCATCTCACTAGAGAGCCCATAGGCATTGCCTAGTTCCCAAATAGCAAGAAGGCACCTGACCCTGTCGAAGCCCATTCCTTTGAACACTGCTGATGACCAGGATTTTAAAAAGAGTATTTGTACCCAGCAAACATGAGCGAAGACGTTCAAGTTCTTTTTTGGGTCTCAGAGACCACATGTGTCATTTATCTAGAAGAATCCCATTTCAGTCGATATTATTTTTCTCTTAAGGATTTAAGTTGGTTTATTAAATATGATTTCATTGTTATAACTTGAAGATAGCCTTTTTATGGAAATATATTCATCAATCAGTAATGAGTCTTTGTCAGGCCATTTTTGACAACAAAGAAATAGTCATGCCATTATATCTTATAAATATTAAACTTCTCAAAATCTGTCATCTCTGGCATGTGCGCAAATATACTTTTCCAGGGTTGTGCAGTAGTTTTCTACGACTACTATAACAAATTAACACCAACATAGTGACTTAAAACAGTGCAAATGTATTATCTCACAATTTTGGGGGTTAGATGTCCAAAATGGGTCTCCCTGGTCTGAAATCAAAGTGTCCCCAGGGCTGCTCTCCTTGCTGGGGGCCCTGGGACTTCCTTTGCCCTTCCAGCTTCTAATGACCACCCACAGTTCTTCTTGGCCCATGGCCCCTTCCTCTGCCTACAAAGCCAAGGTCTCCTCCTGCCGTCTGTCTGGTTCTGCCTCAGGATCCCTCTTCTACATTCAAGGGTCATTGTGATTACATTGGGCCCACCTGTGCTGAGCCGGTACGGCCACAAACAAGGTACATGCCCTTGACGGGAATCGAACCTGGAACCCTTCAGTCCACAGGCCGACGCTCTATCTACTGAGCCAAACCGGTTAGGGCCAGAGTCTTTATTTTGTAGCCAGATTCCACGAGGCAAAGTAAGGGTGTGGTGAGAACATTCTTGGGGATTTCGAATCTACTCAATTACATCTACCTGATTAAGCTTTGTGTACTTGCTGCACCTCCCACAGCCTATATCACTCAGCCACGTGGGACCACAGGTTTGGACCATAAGGTCAAGCTTACAGCTATAGCCTTTGGCTGTAATTGTGCTGGGACTTGCACGTGGCTTGGCCACGAGAGGACCATGCCCTCTCATTAGTCCCAGGCTTGAACCTGTCCAAATGCTGTAGCTGCTCTCCACACCCACCCAAATGATCCAGGATAATCTTCCTATTTTAAAGTCATCTGATTCACCCTAATTCCATTTTCTACCATAATTCGCCTTTGTTATGCAATGGTAACATATTCACAGTTTCCAGGGATTGGGATATATATGGACACCTTTAGGGGACCATTATTCTGCCTATCACAGTAGTAAAGTTTTTATTTAAAAATTGTGGTAGGTATACAATCAGGTGTCAAATAACAACATTTCGGACAATGACAGACTACATGTACAATGGTGTTTCCATAAGATTACAATGGAGCAGAAAAATCCCTGTGGGATAGTGATGTGAGAGCCATGGTAACGTCGAAGCGCAAGGCATTTATCTCTCAGCTATCTGAGGTGATCCCGGTGTAAACACGCCTGCTGCACTGCCTGTCATACAAAAGCATAGCACCTGCAACTTGGACAGTATGCAATACTTGATAACAATAATAAACGACTGTTACTGGTTTATGTAATGACTATACTTTTGGTCATCATTTTAGAGTGTCCTCTTCCACTTATAAAAAAACGTTGGATATAAAACAACATGCTGTGTTACGCCAGCAGCAGCCTCATGCATCTTGTGTTTCCCGTGTCTTTTGACTGCATCGCTTTCTCTTGAGTTTGACTTAATCTCGTGGTGTTTTGTACAGTAACATGCTGTACAGGCTTGTAGACTTGGAGCAATAGTTTATCCCATGTGGGGTTGGTGTGTAGGAGGCTGTACACCCAGGTTTGTGTAAGTGCAGTCTATGATGTTCGTACAACAATGAAATCGCCTAAGGATGCCTTTCTTATCATGTATCCCCGTTGATAAGTGAGGTATGACTGGTACTGGGAATCCTTAAGTTGAATTTCATAAGTTGAGGTACATTAAGAGGGGAGGCAACAGTGACTAATGTTGGAAATAAGTTGTTGGCTCCACCTTTGCACTGATATCTTTAAACAAGTCTTGAATTGTCTGTTTCATGTTCTTTTTTTATACATTAAAGCTAACACTTGCTACTTGGCAAAAATGGGCTATTTGAGAGTTAAATTCAATCAAGAATTGAATTGTAACTCTTTTAGGGTCATCTCTTGTGATTAAGAATCTATGTAGCACCCCGACTGGTTTG